AAGAGGTCAGACACCACTGTGACTGCTGCAAGTCCCAACAGGGCAGTACTCAGGAGCCATTACACCCCTTCCCTGCAGCCACCAAAGAATTTCACTGATGAGCAAGAAATTGATGGGATTTGGTGCTAATGAAGAAACCCAAACGTGCTGAACCTGCAGCTTCATGGACACAAAGAAGGACCTGGAAGATGGCCTAAGGGTTACTTCCCTTGGGACAGGTCCTGGAGACAAACAACTAGCAATTCATTTCAGGTCTCCTAATTGTCCCATTTCAACACAGATCTCTATTTGCTTATGCTAGCTGAGTTCCCAGGAGGCAGGAGCACTGGCTGAGTGTTAGTGGAAGGAGGAAGATTTTTATCTCCCAGAAAAACCTGGGGAGGCACAAGATGGTTTCACCTCTTTCCCAGCCCACATTTTTCACTGAGAGGGTTTTGTTTCCAGACACCCACAGGTCCCTCAGGCCCCTGCTCTGCCTGGATTGATCCAGGGTGGATCTCCCATAGCCAGGTTCAAAGTGCAGCCTAGGGACTGCTGGTAATGCCTGCTGAAGAGTAGAGCTGGCACCCAGGGAAGGGATAAGTGGCAGTGAGGGTGGCAGGAAGACTCCTTGTCCATGGGAGAAAAGCCAGACCCCAAGAAGGGAGTTGGGAACAATGCAAAGTAAAACCTTTCACGTGAGAATCAAGATGGTCCTCAAAGAGCTCCTGTCCCTCAGCAGGGCTGGACAAGGGCTGCAAGCAGGGTGCTGATCCCTTACAAACAGGACTCTGGGCCAGCACCATTCCTCAGTGGATGCTGCATCCCCAGGCAGGCAGCAGGGGATGGGCTGCTGATTGCCCTTGTTTCTTGCTCAAACTTTCCAGGAATTTCTCACTTGCAGCCGTTTCTCCAGCATCTGAGGGAGTGGGGGGGCTGTTTCCTCTCCAAGCTTGCTGCAGATAATACAAATACAGTCTGCTGCCCTGCATCCAGGGTCCAGATCCTTCTTACATGCAAATGCTCACAATTACAAATGTGCCCTGAGCAGCAGTTGCAGAAGCAGTAGGTTAATCCAGCCCCCAGTGCTCTGCAGCCTCTGTCCACAAGGCCCGAGGGCATCAAGAGCCACGTTGCTAAGTAGCTGTTGTATCTCATACAAAGGAAAAAAAGCCTTTTGCAGCTGAAGCAATCTTAAAGCCTGTTTCAAGTGCAGAAATTAGGGGATAATAGATGACCCATTTCCCTGGAAATAAACCTAGTATTTTCTCAGCTGCTTGCTGCACAAGTGACTGAGATCTTGGTGCCCTGTGTATCATGCCCCCCTTCCTGCCAAGCAATAGAGCTTAACAGAGCTCCAAAAAATACCAAGTGTCAGATAATTCAGAGTAAAGCATCTACCCACATCTCCTTGACCGATTTGTGACTGCAGACACATTTACCTCTAAAGCAATAGAGAGAGTGGGCAGCTATTCTGTGCCTTGCCCTAGAGATGGGGTTTAAGCTGTGCCTCTTGGAGCTGCCCAAAAACACCAAGGAGGCGAGGAGGAGGCTGCCAGGGTTCACAGCATGCGTGGGGTGTTGTATCTCATGCTTCAGCACTTACCAGAGAGCTGAGGGCCTGGCTGCAGCATAGGGCTGTGTCCCCCAGGATGAGGCTCCTACAGACACATCCCTGCAAGAGGCATTTTTATAGGCAAGAGAACAGCTTAAACACAGGGGGGAGCCCCCAGTTCTGAGACAGGAGGCCCAGAGTCACCCTGGCAGGTACAGCAATGAGGGCAAAAGGAAGCAGCAAAAAATACAGGAAAGGAAAGAAAAACAAGCCAGCAAAGAAGGGAGGGCGGGCTCTGGCACAGGACAGGAGGGTTTAAGCACATTCAGCCAGGAGCAGTCCAGTCTGGAGAATCAATTATGGGAAGATAATTTGTCTGCTTGATTAAAGCCTCCTTGGGGTATTGGCTGGTTGCTGGGGAGAGCAGCAGAAGGTACCTGTTCTGGTGAGAGCACGATCTGTGACTTATTACTGCAGTCTCCACACGGCAGTCACAGGAGGGGAGGCTTAACAGGCAGACACAGATGAGCACATTGCTTCTGCCTTTCAGACATTTCCCTTCAGTCATCACTGTCTGCACTCAGAGCCAAGTCACTCCAAGGGGACCCCCAGAGCCTTTCAAACTTGCCCCTGTTAAGGAAGCTGCTGCTGCAACCGTGACAGGAAAATCAGCAGTGCCGGCTCAGACGTGCCCTCCAGTGGTCCCCACTCCAGCCTGGTTCCCATCCCCACTCCAAACTAGGCTCCAGCCCTGGAGATTTATAAAAAGGAAGGTCTGAGGAGGCTTTGCACAGACCGAGACAAGGCTTAGGGCTGGGGGAGGTGCCCCTGTGCTCATGTCTCCTTTCTGTGTCCCCCGCCCACCCAGGTGGGGTCATCTGCTTGACAGCGCTAGGGAAGAGAATTTCCAGGAGCCACAGGCTGCGTTCATACAAACTGGGCACTGAAGTAGTTACAGGCTTCTTTCTATGCTTGTTTATTCCTGTATTCCCCACACTCCCAAGAAAGCCTTATTCTAAACCCCTACAGGCCAGAAAAGGCTGCTGTATCTCTTGTAGCAGCCCCTTGTGGATACAGGGAACAGTTGCCCTGTGCACTCAGGCTCACACTCCATTTCATTTCTCCCTGTTCCACCTGAGCCATATGAATGCACACCTGCACTGTGCATTGGATGCTCTGTTCTGCTAGAACAACTACTCCAGATCAAACACCCAGATAAAATACCTAGCATGGCTAAAAGGATAACTCCTTTTGTGCTAGGGGAAACCTGAGAAGTTTCCAGCTTCAAGGCTAATCTCTGATAAATTTCATACAAGATGAACCCTCTTTTGTGGTAGACTGTGCTACACCACTGCCAGTGATTGCTGACAAACTATACCAAAACACACACATTGTTTTTCAAGAGAGTTGAAGAAATACAGCTCCCAGGCAGCCTGGGGTGATCTCAAGCACTCCTTGGATTAGCAGGGAAAGGGAGACTTGCTCAGTGCCACCCCAACCACAGCATGCACAGTTCACAACTGCTGCTGCAGGAGGTAAAAGAACTGCACTGCTGCTGCAAGCAATGTGGTGGATTAATTCTTCACAGTCCAATCTCTAGTGGAGGCATATCAAGTACCATCTTCAAGGCCCTCTGGCAACCTCCCTCATGTGCTCAGACCAATTATAATTCCCCAGTACATCTGTCCCTGCTGTTTGACAGTACAGACAAGCACTGCTCCCTTTGACCCCACTGTGATCCACTGAGGTGTAGTGTGGGTCATTTGACGTGTAAATATTTAGTAGGTAATACATTTCACATAAAATGCTTTAGGTCTGAATAGAAGTTAATTCATGCTGTTATTAGCTCTGCCATGAGAGCTCATTAGTCCAAATGCATGCTTGCAGATACAGTTTCAGCCTTGCACAGTGAACTCCCACGGGAAATACAAGGACACATAGGAGTAGCCTGAGCAAAGTACTGCTAAACCCAGAGCAGGAATTTGTGGGCTTAAGAATTGACAGAACAGGCCACGAGGTCTTTCTGCCTCATGCTCCTACAAGGAAGTGTGGCTGCAGGTTTGTGCCAGTGTTGAATCAACAAAGGGTTGCTGCCTGCACCGGTGCACATTTACTCCCTTGTGTCAACACATGCTTATAGGGGATTATTAGGAGCTGGAATTTCTAGGATGCCATGAACTGCATATGTAAAGCAAAGCTACAGAGGCAGTGCCACAACCTCTGCACAGCTCCAGCAGAGCCTGGCAATACTGAGGCTTGTAGGGACATTCTCACCTGCCACGGGAGCTCCTGCGGTGCTGTAGCCTCCTCCGAGGAGATTGCATGTCCCCATGTACCCATTGCTTTCAGGGACTGCCACAGGTGTGCAGGACACTACAGAGAGCCAGATAGGAAGAGTGGGGACCTTCGAAGTGGTGGTTAATGCTTAACCCACCCTGATCCTCCCAAACTCAATAAGGCACTTACAAGACCCCCTGAGCACATGACTGGGGGGGTCCTACTATGGGTCCCATGTCCTTAAGGCAAGATGTGTCTGAAAGAGCAGCAAGAGTAACACAATTTACACTCCTGGACTAGATTCTCCTGTGTTACACTAACACAAATTTCTACTCAATTTTGCAATGTATTCCCCAGCAGCTCCTGTAGCCCCACAGTTCCCACTTCTCACAGCACTCTTAGAAACCCAAAGTCCATCATTAAGCTCCACACCCCACTCCCTTTGCACACCCAGCAGCCTCACAACACAGCCTTCCTACCTCCTCCTCGCTCCCCTGGCCAGGCAGACAGTAAAAGAAATGGCTGAAGCCATCTCTTAGCACCCTTATGCCCTCCCCGCCTCCTCATAGCTGCAGCAGATCCCAGATGATCTGCTGACCACAGAGACCCAAACAGGCAGCCACTGGTGCTGCTTACTGACTAAGTGCTGCTTGTGAAAGATTTTAAAGGGACACACAGTAAATCCATTCCTGGAGTGCAGTTTGCCTATCTAGTGTTTTCCTGATGAAACATCCATTTCCCAGACATTTAACACGGCTCTCCTCTGTAGCACAGACCTTATCATTCACCTGGAGAGGCGGCTCACAAACAGCCCCCACACAGTGTAAACCAGTGCTCTTGGAAAGTTTGCTTACCTTGGTTATTTTTGCTTTCTATGCATGAGTGCCTGCATGGGCACATACAGACAAACCCTTTGACATCTGCTAGTGGGAGACACTTTAGCAACCTGTGTTGAGCCAGTTTTGGCAAAGTTCACGTGTAAGTGCTGAGAATACACAGCAAAGCCACAGGACAGTCTGCCCTGAGGTTCAAATGCTTGTTTGCCCAGTGAGTTCTATTAACCCCTTCCTTAACATTCTAGCCCATGTTGTTAATGAGTTCTCCCTGTCCCAAGTGCTCTCTCACTTGGGGGAGATGGATGGGAGTGCTCCCCTTCATGATCTCTCTGTCTCCCCCTCTCCACCATCAGCCTGAAGACCAGCCTGCAGAAGAAGGTGAGCCAGGACTCCATGGATTTGTCAGGGATCCCCCTGACCATGCGGGATGTCCACCGCATGGCCTACTACCTGCAGAACAACGGGGACCACCTCACCTCGGTGGACCTGAGCTTCACGGAGCTGAACGACGACATGGTGCGCCTGCTGCTGCCCTTCCTCTGGGCGCTCCCCAAACTCACTCACCTGTCCCTCAACGGCAACCGGCTGACGCGGGCGACCATGAAGGAGCTGACCGACACCATGAAGGACATGAACAAGTTCCCTTGCCTGGCCTGGGTTGACCTCGGCAACAACGTGGACGTCTCCTCCATGCCGCAGCCGCTGCTCGTGGGCCTGCGCAAGCGCCTCAGCCAGCAGACCACGCTGCCGACCATCTATGAGGCGCTTGACTGCGACTCTGAGATCGCCGGCGGGCACGAGGGCAGCCAGCCAGAGGATGAAGCAGCCGGAAGCACCCCGCCACGTGCTTTTTCTCAGCAGGGCTGCGAGAGGTGACTGAACAACGGGCCGGCGCTGGCACACGGAAGCAACCCCAAGGAGAAGTTTTGAGTACGAACATCAAGCAGAGGGCCAGCTTGACCGGCTTCCCTTGGCTCTTTTCTCTCGCCTTCCCTGACATCTTCCCCCCCACCTGCTGTGAGACAAAAGCCTGTCGTCCCCCCACAACGTGCTCCGCTCCCTCCCCTCGCTGCCAAACCCATTGCCCACGTTCCAGAGAGGAACCGGTGACTTACAGTGAACCTGGTCCCCAGGCAGGGTCTCACTGGAAGACGGGAAAAGACCTGTCGGAGTCAAGAATATCCTCCAGCAGCCATTGGGTTGAGGGAAAGGGACTTGGGGGGAACCTAAAACAGAAACAGGCTTGTAGTTTACTTCCTTTCTTCCTTTTCCTGTGCACCTTGGAAACCTTGGGACCTGCAGCCTTGAGTGTGAAAGGAGGTACCCCAAGAGCCTAGTGCTGTGGAGCTTAGTGGAAGGGCTCAGAGGCCAGAGCTGGAGCCCGGCAGTGTGTCTCCCTCTTGTGTCTGGCTCCTTTTGTTTTGTTTTTTTCCTATTGTGTGTTTTGTATGAACGTCTGAACAAAGGGACCTGGTCAGAGACCATTGGATCACATAGGCTGGGGCGGACACATGGCTTGGAACTGCAGCATCAGGATATTTGCTGTGTGACCGGGGTGAGAGGGAGGGGAAGGAGGTATGTGTTGGTGGGAGCATGGGGGATGGGATGAGTTGGGATGGGATTGGGAGGAGGGGGGAGGAGAGGGAAGGGGAACGTTCTTGTGGATTAGTAGGATTGGTTTCAAAAAGTGTGCTTTTGTACTAAAATTACAAGTTCCAAGGTACTACAATTGCAAGTTCCAAGTGAAATTGAGGAAAAGCTGACAGCTCAGCACCTAACTGTGGCACTAGAGGAGCAAGCAGCGAATGTGCCAGAGGTGGGCCCTTCCCAATTGGAAGTGCAAAGCTTTGGCTCCTCGTGGCACTTTGTACACCTTGTAATACAGACACGTGAGCAGCTGCATCGCCATTTCCAATGCTGTCCAAAACCCAAGTCACTGATGCAGAGTTTCCAGTGTTTTCCACATTGCTCATGCTCTATGTAAACATAATAAAGAGTTTTCTTGGACATGAGCGTGAAGCACTTCAGAGTCTGAGTATCTGGGTTGTTCGCAGATCTTGGAATACAGACCAGAGCCCTCATGCAGTGCCTGAGGGACAGGATCAGGTACAATTCACATTGGGCAGTGTGGTTCATTCCTTAAGGAGAGAGAAACGTGGATGTTCAGTGGTAGGCTGCCATCCTTCATGTTGCAAGGGGCTGGTAGAAGTAAACTGATGAGATTTAGCTGATATGTCAAGTCCTCTCAATTATCTGTCCCCACAGGAATTCAGAGTGGATGAGTTGTTGAAAGAGTTAAAAGTTAAAGAAATGAGACATATTAAAAAAAACACTATAAAAATCCTCACCCTTCTAAATTAACAAAGTTAACTTTGCCTTCCTGCTGATTGTCTTTGTGAGTCCCAGAGCAACACATATAAGCAATGCTTATATATGAAAACAACCCAAATTCACATGGAACAGATACACCTTTCATGTTCTTTACTAATTTTACAAGACATTGCAAGAAGTAAATTGGTGATATTTTTCAGCTGATCTATTCCCTTTGGACCAAGAGTGTGAGGACATTGGAACATACTGGTGTCTCTGATCAACCACCAAAAGCCCCAAATAATATCAATTCCAGGAAGAAAGGTGAGATTACACATTGCACTGAACATTACAATCTGACACTGCAAATGCTGGACCCAGTCCTAGCTGCACTCCAGTCACAGGTGCAGGATCTCACAACCTTCATGTTAACCTGCACAAAGGTCACCACCTGCTCTCTTCTCACAACTAATTTTTCCTTTCTCAGTGTAGAATCTTACAGAATCATAATTATTTCAGTTGGAAAAGACCTTTGAGGTCATGGAGTCCAAACATTAACTCAGCGCTGTCACTAAAACACGTCCCTGAGTGCCACAGCTGCACCTCTTTTACATAATTCCATGGTAACTCAACCACTGCCCTGGGGATCCTGTTCAGTGCTTGACAACCCAGTCCTGCTGGCCACTCTATGCCACATGCAAGCCAGGATGCTGCTGGCCTTTTCCACTCAGCAGCTTTCCAGCTGCTCTTCCCCAAGCCTGGAGTCCTGTTTGGGGTTGCTGTGATTGAGGTGCAGAGCCTGGCACATGGCCTTTTGGACCTCACACGATTGTCCTTGGACCATCAAATCCAGCCTATCCAAGCCCTTTTGCAGAGCCTTCCTACCCTCCAGCAGATCAACATTCCCACCCAACTCAGTGTCATCTGTGAATTCAACTGAGGATGCCCTCGATCTCCTCATCCAGATAATTGATAAAAACATTAAACAGAACTGGCCCCAATACTGAGCCCTGGGGAACCCCACCAGTGACCAGCCCCAGCTGGCAGCAACTCCATTTACCACCACTCTCCAGGCTCAGCCCTTCATTTCCTTCCCTGCTGTGGAAGAGATGGTATTAATTTTTAATTTTCCTTCCAAAATACCTTTCAGCAAAAATGAAAAGTTATTTCAAATGCCAGCAAGACCTGCTTAAACTCTTAGAGTCTAAGCAGAGCAGCCCTCTGCTGTGCCAAGAAGAAAACTCGGGCACAAAGCATTTAAATGGAGCTGCCTGGTGAGCCAGTGCATATCTACAAAAGGAGCAGCACTGCTGAACATTTGGTCTTTGGCTCTGAGCACTGTCCCCCTAAGGGTTCTGCATCAAGGCATCTTCACAGCTTTTCCATAGCAGCAGCACGCCCCCAAAATGAGGTGAGACCCTCAGTGTGTAGGGCACCTCTGACACAGCTCTTCCCTGCTGAGCCCCTGGCTCAGTCCCAGCCTGTTTCCAGCCCTGCTCAAAGCTCTGCTTTCAGTCTGAGCTCTGCTACCCAGCAGGACAGGGATGAGACATTCAGCCCCTTGCAGAGGAATTCTGTGCCAATCACTGGTGATGCCACCTGCCAGTTGGCAACTCCAGGATCTGGAGGTAAAGCAGAAAACACTAGTTCAGCTGAGCCATGCATGTTTATTCCTCCATATGCACTTGGTTGCTTTGCCACAGAAAGGTCCCCACGGAGAACTGGTTGTGAATAAATGTGTGAAAATGTAAATTATCAAGGCCTGCCACTGCTTCTTGGATGAACTTTGACAGGCTGTAGTTTAGCAGAAATGATCCCAGCACAGGCAGCTAATCCCTGCCAGCTCCTGTTGCCATGGATAGGTGAGGTGATACACAGTGCATCCATCTCCAAAGCTGGTAAGTGCTCCTGGGCCCCCTGCAGATGAGGTGCTTGCTCAAGGAGCAGACCTGGAGGCCCCAAATCTGCAATTTTCATAAAAGCTGAGTTCACCAACCAGAGAGAATGACACAACCAAAATAAGCCTTTCCTTGCACTCAGTGAGAATGCTCAGGGCCCTCAAAGGGTATTCAAGGGATGAGCTGCTAATTCAGGTGTCCTCACAGATAGCCAGAGGGACCAGCTTAGTTATGATGCTGATTCAGGTGACACCTGCCCTGCAGGGAGGCCATCTCCTGTCAGGTAACACAGCAGGACTGAATACTCTCTTCAGGAGGTACTTGCTGGTGCAGGGCTGTAATCGCAGGTACTTTGAGCAGCACTCAGTATCCAGACTCAGACACCAGCCTCTCTCCACCATTTTCAGTTTGCCAGCCTCCCTCTCGGTGCAGGCTGCAGATGGTCAGCCTGGCCTGGGACCTGTGTCGTGCAGCAGGCAGGAAGCTGCAGCTGCACAGATGGTGGCACAGCTCCTTCCCCACCCCGAGCTCCCACCAGGTGATCAGTGTCACCACAGCTCTCAGTGAGACATCTAAGCACACCTTTCAGCAGCAGTCTGCTGGGAGGTCACCAGGTGTAAAGCATCTCCCTTGAAAATGCTGGTGAGCACTGTCAGCTGGGGCTCCACGGGGCTCAGGCAGCAGCAGAGAGCTCCAGCAGCATCAGCCTGCAGAGCCCAGCCACACATGGAGATAATTAGCAACACCACAGCTAATGAGGCCATTGGTGCCTGAAAGAAGGAACAGTTACTCCAACAGAAAAGCACTTGTTCTCTCCATGCCTAAGAGGATACCACCTTCCCTGCACCTCCATCCTGTATTTTACCTCAGCTTCTGACCACAAAACCCAGGAAAGTGTCTTGGCATGCTCCAGGTAGCAATATGAATTCAGCAAAAGCCTCCCTCACTTCAGTGACTCTGTCTAAATAAGTGGTAATTATTTTGTTGAGGTAAGGATGCAAAAAGCAGCTGGAAGCACAGGCTTGTCTAATCTATTTTTTATTTCACGCACTTCAAAACCTGTCAAGACCCTTTGCTTTTGCACTGCCAAGACTCTTTTTTCAACTTATAATTCATTTCTCATCACAAGCACTAGGAAGATAAAGGAGTCTGCACTGTCTGGGGCAGGCTGACAAGCTCCTTAGTGGACAGCTGCTGACAAAGATGTCAAAAATATAAATTGTTTCATCTTAAGAAAACAAACAAGAGAAGATTAAACATTGCCTTTAGAGATTGCTCTGCTCCCTACCAGAAGACGTGATTCAAGGCTTGGAAGAGGTAAAGTGCCTCAATACAAACCCTTATCATGCAGTCCTTGGCAGGTGAGAAGCCTCCAAGGGCAGCTGGCAGGAAGCCCAGCCACCCCAGCTGGGGACATTATCCATAGATAAGAGAACCTGTTTTGCAGTTTACTGCCCTTAAACAGGTGCTCTCAAAATAGATGCAGTAGCTGGTTTAGGGCTGCCAAGAGGTAGTTCACAAAACAAAACAGGCTGGAACCCTGCTAGCTGAGGCCGGTGCTCCAGAAGGCCACGACTGCATCTCCATCCACTTTGAGACACCAAGTACTTGACTGTGAATCTCTGCAGTTCCTCTCAGATCTGACAATATCCCAGTTCAGCAATGCTGATTCAAAACCAGAACAGCCACAAAACACAATAACCACACAGGAACTCTACTTCAGCAGAAGAGATCAGAGGAAAGTCAACTTTTCTTCCATGTACTCCTTTTCCCAAAGCCCAGCACTCCCCCTGCTGCATCCAAACGGGCCTCAAAAGCAAGTGAACCTCAATGACACTGACATTTCCTTCCACAGCAGCATCGGGTTGGTTCTGCTTGCACGCAGGGTGTGTCACAAAGGTGGAAGAGAGGCTGCCTTTCTGATCAGCCAGTTCCTGAACTTCTGGGAGGGTTATTCCTCCCAGTCCATTTTTGTGTCAATCTGCCCCACGTTGGACACAAATGTGGGAAGCATTTGAAAAGATATCAAAAAATGCCATGGGCCTTATCCAGCCTGTGTAATTCCCCTGAAAGACATAGTGTCTCAACAATAAAAACATGGCACAAAAAATGGGAAAAAGGCCCTTTCCCAGACTAGCAGAGGCAGCTGCCTTTGGGTCTCCATGTCAGACTTCTGAGCAGAGCTTTGTTCTTGATCCCCTGAAATCTTTTGGTTTGCAGAGCCAACAGTTTGATGTGTGCACCTTTGCCTGAGCTCTGCTGGAACTGAAACACTGAGCAAGTCACAACCCATCCATTCATTTTACCAACAGATCTTTGGGGTTTCAGCTTTTCAGAAACTGCAATGGAAAGAGAGTGAAGCAGAGGCCAAAGGAACAGGTTTGATGTGTAACCAGATACTCAGACACAACAGCCCAAAGGGTCTCCAGGGCCCCTTGCCTGGGTCTCAGCCCTGAACTGGCCCATCCCTCAGCTCCAGTATGAATCCTGGTGTTTTACAGTGTCACTGGCAGCCCCCAAATCTCCTGCTAGCACAGGGCCAGGTGCTCTGGAGCTGAGTGAACGCTTGGCTCTCACAAGCAGGACAGCAGGATGCACCCCCAGAGCTCAGCCAGGGGCTGCAGGGCCAGTAAAAGCCAGGTTCAAATGAGGCTGTGGAGATAAGGGAGATCTCCTACATGGACACTCTTCACAGCCTCCAGCCAGAAGCTTCAGCACATCCCATGGTATAAATCTCTGCCAAGGTTTAGGATTAGACTTTGTGTATTTGGAGTCAAATTCTGACACAAAAACCCTCTAATGAGTTCCCTAGAG